GTAGCCGGGCATGATCTAGCTGTACTGGACTCAGTCTGGTGGAGGCCTTGGTAGCTGTGGTCCATTAGTCCTTTGGTCTAATCTTTTCCTTGTATACTATTCTCTTCATTCACCCTTGCTCCCAAAGGGATGAGACCAGTGGAGTATCTTAGATGGCTGCTCACAGGCTTTTAAGAACCCAGGTAGAATGTAGAACATTGTCTTTATAAACTGTGTTATGCCAATTGTTTGATTGCTTTCTGAGAATAAATTCCTAGAAATGGAATCATTGCTTCAGAAGTGATGTCTCACAGGTGATGAAACTTGGTGTCAGGAGATAGAGTCTCACCTAACTTCTGAACTGCAGTTTCCTCATCTGTATAATGGGCCCTCATAGGGTTGTAGAAGGCTGTTATAAGATTGACACATATAAGGCCCTTACCCTGGTACCTGGCCCATCCCAGACATTCAGTAGATGTGGGCTGTTCGTGTTGGTTATGCACAGTTTGAAAGCTTCTGATGATTATCAGTAAGCTTGCCTGTTGCTTTTCTTACCAGCTGTTGAAACTCAAGTTGTTACAGACAACTGCTTAGAGGAAAGAAAGATCATCAGCTTGCAGGCTCAGAGGAACTCAATGGACATCCACTGCAATGCCGTCGTTCAGGGAAACACGCAAGGTACATGTAGCGACTGCACTTCCTTTGTACAGAGCAGTATCATTATGTGAGTCATGGGGAAACATCCCCAGCAGGCTCCTCCCTGATGGGTCTCTTACCCTAAGACTGTGTGTATCATTTGAGGTTTTTTTCTCTTAAGAAAAAAAAAAATTTCCAAGCAGGAGACTTTCTGTTCTTCAGTGCAGACGGACACAGCACAAACTTCCTGAATAATAAGCAGTTGGGGCCCCCACCCATCCTGCAGCTCTGGAAGAGCAAAGGGAGCGGTAGGTGTGTGGTCATCATTCAACAAATGTTTATTGAGCATCTGTCATCAACTGTGAGGGCTCTTGGTGGCACAAACGGTTTGTGCTCGACTACTAACCTAAGGGTTGGCAGTTCAGACCCATCCAGTGGCACCACAGAAGAAAGGTCTGCAATCTGCTTCGGTAAAGAATACAGCCAAGAAAACTCTACGGAGCAGCTCTACTCTGTAACACATGGAGTCGCCATGAGTCGGAATCTGCTCAACGGCAACAGAAAAAAAGCTCATCTACTAAATTCTAGGCTCTGTTCTAGTGAGCAAACACACATCAGCTCTCATGGAGCTTATGTCTTGTTAAGGGAAACAGTCTAGTAATTCAATATATGTATTTAATTTGTCAGGTATTTTGAGAAACAAAGCAAAGTAAGGAGATAAAGAGTGATATTGGGGGGAGATCTGTTTCATACATGATCAAGGAAAGCCCTTGATCTGACAATATTTGAGCAGAAACCTGAGGAGTGCCAGGAATCAACCATGCAGCTATCTGGAGGAAGAGTATTGAAGATAGCAAGAACAGCAAGTACAAAGGCCCTGAGGCAGGAACATGCCTGACATATTCCAGGAATAGCAAAAAGGCCGGTGCAGCTGGAGCAGAATGAAGGAGGAAGTAGGTGCTGGGGTGGGAGGGGTGCCTGGAGATGAGGGTAGGGAACGGATGAGGGCAGGTCCGTAGTCTGAGAAGGTCAGTAACAACTTCAGTAACAATTGTACCTACTTCATGGGTGCAGTTCAATGGGTTTCTCTTTATCTATGGCCTAACTAACCCTGGGTTTGTAGTTCTGCCAAAAATAATTGGTTGGGCCACAGCCTGCCCTGTGATTGGTCTATTTTATGTACATTTCAGGGATTGGACAGTTTAGTATGCAAATAAGGTGACTATGGCCTACCGCAGGGATTGGTCAGTTTGTGGTCTTGGTGGGAGGAGTAGGCTTATATAAGAGCCAATCCCATGAGGTTGAGGGGACCTCACCACCATCAAGAAGAAGAACTTGAAGCAGAGTGCATCCTTTGGACCCCGGGTCCCTATGCTGAGAACCTCCTAGACCCGGGAGACAGAACAGTAACTCAGGAGATGGTGTGGGGGCAGTACAAGCAGCAGCAGCTCAAGATGGCAGGAACCAGGAGACCCATGTGAGAATGCTGCAGTGGGCATCCCGGCCCATGGAGCAAGGTGGCTGCAGAGCTAGGCTTACCAACCGCGAAGCGAGAGAGAGCTGAGCACTTTCAGGCAGGAGGCTTCTGGCAGAGTGGGGTGCCTCTGGGCATGTGACAGCAGAGCTAAAGAGCTGTAACACTTGTAGGGCAGAGACTAGGTCTGAGCAGGGTCCAGCTGCAGAGGTCAGGCCAAGAAGCATGGCCTGCAGACACGGCTGAGGAGAAAGCTGAGAGCTGTTTTGGTTGGAAGCTGTCCTGATTGATGAACTATATCCTGTCTCCTGAGTTGTTGCTGTTACTTCCAGGTTGATCCTGATCCTGAGTTGTAGCCTGTTAACTTCCCTAATAAACCCCATAATTGTGAGTATGGTCTGTGAGTTCTGTGTGGCCATTGCAACAAATTATTGAACACGTAAGAGAAGTAGAGAGTGCCGTGGGGAGGACACCTGGTGTCAGAGTTGGTGAAAAGGTTGCAGAGAGGAGGTATCTGACCTCCATCTCATATGGATCAGCTTTGGGCTGATTGTTTTTCTCATTCCCCCTCCTGAAGTTAGGTTCTGATGCTGCTATATTACAGTGGGGTTACTGTGAGGCTTTGTGGTGAAATGACTTATATCCATTTGGCTCTTTTTTTGATAGTTGTAGCCTCAAGTGGTTAGAAGAGTGTTATGGATTGGATTATGTCTCACAAAAATATGTGTTGTAAATCCTAACCTCTATGAGTTGGCATCAACTGATGGCAATGGGTTAATGAGATACCTGTGGTTTTAACTCCATTTGAGAATGAGGTGTCTTTGTTATATTAATGGGGCAGGATTAGTGTAGGGTGTATCTTGAGTCAATCTCTTTTGAGATATAAAAAAGATTAAACAAGCAAAGGAGCAAGCAGAGACTGGACTGGGGACGAGAGATGCCAAGCCATATGAAGATTGCCCAGGAGCAGCTCAGAAGAGATTTCCTCAGAGCCAACGGAGAGAAAGCCTTCCCCTAGACCTGGCACCCTGAATTTTGACTTCTAGCCTCCTAAACTGAGAAAATAAATTTCTATTTGTTAAAGCTACCCACTTGCAGTAGATAAGTAGCAGTGCTAGATAACTAAGACAAAGAGGATATTAGTTAAGAACTTGGTTTTAGGAGTTAGAGTCTTATCTAACTTCTGAACTGCAGTTTCCTCATTTGTATAATGGGCCCTCATGGGTGGAGGAGAGTTAGCCACACCACCACACCTTTCCTGTCTTAGTCTCCTAGTGCCGCTGTTAACAGAAATGTCACAAGTGGGCAGCTTTGAAGAACAGAAATTTATTTTCCCAGAGGACAAGAGGCTAGAAGTCTGAATTCAGAGTGGGCTCTAGGGAGATGTCCCTCCTCGTTTCTTTCAGCTTCTGGTAGCCAGCAATGCCTGGTTCCTTGACAATCTTCTCGTGGCATCTGTCTTCTCCTGTTTGTGCTTTTTTTATCTCTGTGTCAAAGCTGCTCCTTTTAACTCATAAGTAATTAGGTTCAGGACACACCCTCCACTGAAATGGCCTCATTAACGTAATAAAGAAAATCTTATTCCCAAATGGGATTACATTCACAAGTATAGGGGTTAGGATTCCAACACATATTTTAGGGGGGACACAAATCAATCCATATCACTCTCCCCAGGCTACAGTAGAAGAGAATCTTGCCAAATCCTCCAATGCACCAGTCATTTATTAAGCAAACATTTATTACCAAGCTGGCTCAAAATATCCTGAACACACAACCTGTTTTGTATACTCGGTGAAGTCCCAGCTTTCTGTCCTTCTAAGGACCCTGGCCATACCTTGAATCAAGGGTTCCCTGGAGGTGGATGCCACGATGTGCCAGGGATAGGGTTCTGTTACTATTGTAGTTGGTATCGGGCAGCCAGAATCTTCCACACAAGTGGTTCTCAAAGTGTGGTCCCCGGACCAGCATCATCAGCATCACATGGAATGTGTGAAAATGCAAATCCTCAGGTCCCTCCCAGATCTCCTGGGGTGGGGTCCTCCAGGGGCTTCTGAGTCAGCTCCAGTTGAGAACTACTGTTCCAAACAAATGGCAGAGGCAGATCTGTTTAGGGGTCAAGCCTGTAAGGAGAACGGCCACAGTCACAACTAGGCATTCAGGCCTGTTGGTGCAAAATAGAGGGCTTCTAGAATATTTTAGCCAATCCACTAAATCCTATTAACTTTCCTAAGGAGATCCTGTTTCCACATCCATGATGCTTATTAACAAGCTAATTTCACCACTGAAAACCCACTTCTATAGGGCCTTATGTGTAATTGACCAAATTAAGTAAGAAGTCATTAAATCTGATGGATTTTAATGAAATGTCCTACATTGCTAATAGGAATCAAGATACATCTTAGATTTGATCTGTGGGTTGGTCTGGAGAATTTTAATATAAATGTAGCTGATACAAATGACAAAAAAAAACTTTTCTAACATTCATTGTGCTAATTAGTGAAATGTCTGGTGTTAATCAGAGGTAAAGACACCAGAAGCAGCCTTCTGTTTGAAGCTAATCAGCGCTGGAGTATGAATTCCTAATTAGGACAATGTCTGTCTTAAAAAAAAAAAATCCATTGCTATCTAGTTGATTCCGACTCATAGCAACCCTATAGGACAGAGTAGAACTGCCCCCATAGGGTTTCCAAGGAGTGCCTGGTGGATTCGAACTGCTGACCTTTTGGTTAGCAGCCAAACTCTTAACCACTACAACACCAGGGCTTCCATATCTGCCTTAGATGAAGTTTAAACAAATACACATAAAAATACACTGTTGTCCTAGCAGCCCCTGGGTGAAGCAAACAGTTAACACGCTCGGCTGCTAACCAAAAGGTTGGAGGTTCGAGTCCACCCAGAGGCACCTCGGAAGAAAGACCTTGCAATCTACTTCCAAAAAATAAGCCATGGAAAACTGTCTGGAGCACAGTTGCCATGAGTCGGACTTAACTCTACTGCATCTGGTGGCGGTTGTGGTCTTCATAGCAGCACTATTCACAATAGCCAAAAGTCAGTAACAGCCCAAATGTCCATCAGTGGATGAATGGATAAACAAATTGTAGTGCAGCCATACAATGGAATATTACTTGGCCATAAAAAGGAATGAAGTACTGATATAGACTACAACATGCAACGTGAAGGAAGCCAGTCACAAAAGACCACATATTCTATGATTCCATTTACTTGAAATGTCCAGAATAGGCAAATCCATAGAGACAGAAAGCTGATGAGTGGTCACCAGGGGTAGAGGGAACAGGGGAAGGAAGCATGACTACCTAATGGGTACAGGGTCTCCTTTAGGAATGATGAAAATGTTCTGGAATTAGATAGAGGTGATGGGCACACAACACTGTGAATGTACTAAATGCCACTACATATACTTTACTTTAAAATGGTTTAAAAATATAGACTGTGCTGAATTGCTTAAGTGTATCACAAACATCATAATGTGACTCCATTTGCCTCAGAGAGCTGCTGGCATATAGTGCTCAGGAGTAGACTAGTCACTTTCCCCCAGATGGGCCTTGCTGTCTCACACCTCCAAGCCTTTGTACTGGCTATTCCTCTGCCAGGAGTGCCAAACTCTACTCTTCTGGGTGAACTTTCACTATCCTTCAAGCACAGCTTATGTCACCTCCTCCATGGTGCCTCCAGGACTGCCCACTTCCATCAGAGCACCAGTCAAGCTCCCCTCTCCTTTTTGTTCCTCTAGTATCTTCAACATACCTTATCCTGGCATTTAACACATTATCTTACTGTGTCTTAACTATTAATTGTAGTGTCCGTGTCTCCCCACTGTGAAGTTCCTGAGTGGTACAAACAGTTAACATGCTCGACGGCTAACCAAAAGGAAGAAAAGCCTGTTGATCTACTTCCAAAAAATCAGCCATTGAAAACCCTATGAAGCACAGTTCTACACTGACACATATGAAGTTGCTATGAGTCGGAATCGACTCAACACCAACTGGTGGTACAGGCACCATTAGGGGCACAGTGCCTGGAGAACAGTGACAAGTATTTATTGAATTAAATCAACATTTGGGTTCAGGCCTCAACATTCCTAAGAAAAGAACCAGTTGATGGATGGATGTATAACAAGCTCGTAGAGGGACATTCCTCTGTTCTTCAGGCTGTGTCCAAGCAGGGTTTCTCCACCTTGACACTAGTGACATTCGGGGCTAGACAGTTCTTTGTGGTGCAGGCTATCTGTGCATTGTAGGATGTTGAGCAGCATCCCTGGCTTCTACCCACCAGATTCCAGTGGCAACCCTCTACCCCCACCCCAGGCATCACAACCAAAAATGTCTCCAGACATCATCATATATTCTCTGGGGGCAAAATTGCCCCTGGTTGAGCACTACTGGTCTAGACCTTGTAAATTATTGTCTAGACTGGGATATTTTGATAGATAGATGGATATGTACAACAGAATGAAATGTTGCCTGGTCCTCTGTCATCCTCACAGTCGCTGGCGTGTTTGAGTCCATTGTTGTGGCTATTGTGCCAATCCATCTCACCGAGGGTCTCCCTCGCCCTTCCAGGCCCTCTGCTTCACCAAACATGATGTCTTCCTCTAGCAATTAATCCCACCTGACGATGTGTCCAAATAAAGCAAGGCCAACAATGTTTGGTTGTGATCCATAGGTTTTTATTGACTAATTTTCAGAAGTAGATCACCAGGTCTTTCTTCCTAGTGAAAGAAGTGCTGTTAAAATTATACCAGGACACGAGGTATGAACTGGGACTGTCACAGCAAATGAGGAGGAACAGTCACCTGACTCCCAGAGATCAAACCTAGAGCCAAAGAGACTGACCTTGGAAACCCCTGCACCCACTCCTCTATTTTCTGTTCATGATTTTGCTGTTACATCAGAATATTTCAGCTCAAAAAAATAGCAATTTCCAAGCATAACAGGTTGATCTATCACCTGTTGCTAGTTTCCAACCACCTACAACTGTTTCATTCTGACAAATGGAAACTGCCATTAAATCAGAGAAACAGATGTGAACTTCCTACATCTGGCCCTTCTGGCCAGAAAAGCCTGATTAGAGACACCCACCAAGGGATTTATTTCAGGAGGATGAATCGCACAGCTAGTAACTGGCAAAGCTGGGATTCTAATCCGGAAACCTATTTCTGGCCCCTGTACTCTTAACCACCAGCTATACAGCCTCTTTGCCATGTGGCCTTTTCAGCAGCCATGAAGAATAATGAATACTCACTGACACGGAAAAATGTCCATAACATATTATCAAATATATGTATGTATGCATATATACACGTGTCCTATTGGTATATATCATGTACATGTGCCATGTATATATATATACCAGTTGCTGTCAAGTCAATTCTGATTCATGGGGATCCCATGTGTATCAGAGTAGAACTGTGCTCCATAGAGTTTTCAAGGCTGTGACCTTTCAAAAGCAAGTTTCCAGGCATTTCTTCTGAGATACTTCTGGGTGGGTTCACACCCCAAGCCTTTCAGTTAGTAGTCTAATGCTTAACAAATTTTTGCCACCCAGGGACTCCTTGGTATATTGATACATAGCATATACATATGCTGTTAATTTAATTTTAAAAAAAAAAGGTTGCCATCATGTCGATTCCAACTCATAGCAACCCTATAGGAAAGAGTAGGACTGCCCCAAAGGGTTTCCAAGGAGCAGCTGGTGGATTCAGACTGCTGAACTTTTGGTTAGCAGCCAGGCTCTTAACCACTGTGCCATCAGGGCTCCATTCTATTAATACAAAATAAAATTATGTACTAGTACATGATATAAATATGTACATATATATTTTTATCCTATTAAAGTGTATCAAATTACGGCATTCCCCTGCTTGAAACCCTTCGATGGCTTTCCACTGGGCTTAAAATAAAAGCCAGTCCCCTCCTCTCAAGCCCACAAGGCCCTTGCCCAAGCAGCTCAGTCCCCTCCCTGCCCTAGTTTCCTCCCACTCTCCCCCTCCTTTTCTCTGCTGTCACCACACAGGCCTCCTTGCTAGTACCTGAACAAGCAGAACACATTCATGTCTCTGGGATTTGGCACAGTGGTTAAAAGCTACAGTGTGCTAAGGCTGCTAACCAAAAAGGTCGGCAGTTTGAATCCACCAGCCGCTCCTTGGAAACCCTGTGGGTCAGTCCCACTCTGTCCTATATAGTCACTGTGAGTTGGAAAAGACTCGACAGCAATGGGTTTGGGTTTTTTTTTTTTTTTTGTATGAGGGGCAGTTGGAGCCCTGGTGACATGGTGGTTAAGAGCTATGGCTGCTAATCAAAAGGTCAGCAGCTCGAATCCACCAGCTGCTCCTTGGAAACCCTACGAGGACAGTTCTACTCTGTCCTATAGGGTCGCTATGAGTTGGAATCAACTCCACGGTACACAGCAACAACATTTCATTTGCCTAGAACACTCTTCCTTGGAGTTCCCCATGGCCTCCCTCTTGCTTCATTCAGGCAGTCTGACAACTATCTAAAATAGCAGCCCCTTGTCTCTCTCTGTCCCCTTACCCAGCTTCATTTTCTCTGTAGAACGAATCACTCTCTGATACATATATCTTTATTGGAAGACATATATAACTGGGAGTATTCCCTTGTTCTGTTTGAACAACTGCCTCTTGATCTACGTACAGTTTCATCATGAGCACAATTAAGTGTTCTGGAAGTCCCATTCCTCACAATGTTATGCATAATTTGGTATTATCCACACAGTCAAATGCCTTTGCAAATATGGATACACACATATATATGCCTAGAAAAATCTAGAACTCCAATAGTGATTATCTCAGAGTAGTGGAATTGTGTATGAATTTTATAATTTCATTTTCTTTTTTCTCACAAAATTTTCTAATTTCTAATTTATTTTTACAATAAAAAAATTGTGAGGTATCAAATATTGTGATACTCCACAGCAGCTGAAATGAATAATGAATGTATCAGTATGGCTAAATCCTGATGATATTAACTGAAATGACAAAAGCAAGTTGCAAAAAGACACTCAAAATGTGATACCATTTATGGGAATATTTTAAACACAGAAAACAGCACTGTATATCATTATGTAAACATATATAATAGTAAAATTATGAAAACATTCATGGAAAGTTAAGCTTCAACTTCAAGTCCATGCTTATTTCTGGAGAAGGAAGAAAGAGAGTGAGGTAGTGGAAGCTTTAGCCATATCTCAAACATTTCATTTCTTTAAAAAAAGAATTCTGAAGACAAGATGTCAAAATGTGAATATTTGTTAAATCTTGCTGTGGATGTCTGTTTTTTTAATATTTTTCTGAGTGCTTGAAATGTAATTTAAACTTTTTTTAAGAAATAAAAAGATGTTGTAAAAGAATTAAGCATTTACCACATGCCTGGCACTGTGCTAGCAGCCCTGTGGTTCTCAAATGAGTATCCTATATAGTTACTATCCTCAAGAAGGTTATAGTCTGTTGGGAAAATAGGATTCAATTCACAGGAAACAATTAGTGAACAGTCAAGTACTAATTGGCATGGCAGGGATTGCACTTGATACACAAGTTTAGAGAAAGAAGCAGCAGGGCTAACTGAGAAGTTGGGTTTGAGCTAGGTCTTGAAGGAGGAGTTGGATTTGAGTAGGAAGAGCATGGGAGGAAGTGTGAACTTCCTGAGCAGCTCCTGAACATAGATGTGGAGATCATGGAGGCATGGCAGATGTGGGCTAGGAAGATCCCACTTGAAGAATGGTGGACAAGAAGGGTGGAAGAAATGGTGACTCCATTTTTCAATTTCCTCAGGTCCCAGTGCAGTTGCCTTTATTTCATACGTTTCTCTTGGCAACATCATAAATGCAACTTTTTTTGAAGAGATGAACGAGAGCGATCGAGTCTACCTGAACTCCCAGGTAGTGAGTGCTGCTATTGGACCCAAAAGGAACACTTCTCTCCCCAAGACTGTCACTCTGAGTTTTCAGCACACAAAGGTGGGTCAAAGCTGCAGTTTGGGCTTGCTTAGGTTTCAGGGAGGTAGACTGAACAGCCTGTATATATATACCCCAGACAGTGCTTCCAGACCTGAATTGCCCAGTATGGTAGCCACAAGCCATATGTGGCTGTTGAGCATTTGTGGCTAGTCCAAATTGAGATGTGCTCTAAGTGTAAAATGTACACTGGATTTCAAAGGTCTGGTATGAAGAAAAGAAGAATGTAATATATCTCATTAATAATTTTTTTATATTGATTACACATTGGAAAGAATATTTTAGATATTGTTGATTAAATCAAATATATTATTAAAATTAAATTCCCCAGTTTCTTTTTACTTTTTTTAAATGTGGAGCCCTGGTGGCAAAGTGGTTGAGAGCTCAGCTGCTAACCAAAAGTTCAGCAGTTCAAACCCACCAGCTGATCCTTGGAACTCTAAGCGGGGGCAATTCTATTCTGACCTATAGGGTGGCTAGGAGTTAGAATCGACTGGACAGCAATGGGTTTAGTGGACATTTTTTAATTATATAGGTGGTTCCCATGATATTTCTCTTGGACAGCACTGTTCTAGTGCATAGAATTGTTTTAGTTACAGGTACTTCATAAATCTGTGCAATTTGAATTAAGACTAATATTCATTCTCACACAGAAGGCTAATATTAATTATTAAGACTACATAACTCAACCACCAAAAGCTTTTATTTAATCCATTGCTGTTTTCCATTCTCTGCCCAGGCTCTTAAAACAGGAGAGTTAACAGCCAGATACGTACATAATAGGATTCATTTGTTCCTTTTCCTTTCAGCTCTGTTAAGAAGAATCAAGTGGGGAAACGTAGGTTATCTCCCTCTAGTGCATAAAGTCTAGGCGTGGAATTTTTTATGTACGTCATGGGGAGGGGTGGCAGGTAAGAAGTCTGGTAATGGCCCAGTGGGTTATCAAAGGAAACAAGGCCCCCAAACAAGAGGGCATCCAGTCATCTCCTGGGCCCTATGAAATGATACTCGAGAAGTCCTGGGAACAAAGAGAATAGATTGAAGGCTAATTTTATATCTCTCTCCTCATGACCCTTCTTCCCTACACCACCCCTTTCCTCACATCAGGTGTTGTGAAGTGTCAGGGACAGAACTGGTGTGAAGAGACAAGGTAAATTTGGTTGAGAGAGTCTTCTGGGAAAACTGTGAGCCTCAGACTCAGTTTTTGTTTGACACACATGAGGGAGAAGATCCTGAGACCAATGAAATCTCCTAAAATTCTACCTCCCAGAATGTCTTAGCCTTCTTTTAAGTTATGCGGAACCCAATAGAGCTGCAGCTACAGTGGCAGGGGTCTTGGCAGCCATCATATTCACTTAAAATCAAGATCACCTGAGTCACCTCTAATCTATGTGTCTCCAGTGTGGCATCCAGGCAGGCATAGACTTTGACAATTGTCCCTCCTGAAGAAGAAGATGATAAGCCCATTCTATTTTCAGATGAAGCCCAGTGGCAAAAAGGCTTTCTGTGTCTACTGGAAAAGCTCCCAGGAGGGTGGCCGCTGGTCCACAGACGGCTGTTTCCTGATACATGTAAACGAAAGTCACACCATATGCAACTCCACCCACCTGTCCAGCTTCGCTGTCCTCATGGCCTTCACGAGCCAGGTACAATGTAAATGTTTAATTCCTCTAGCAAATACTTTGTGAGCGCCTATTAGATAGCGATAGGTGCTATGAAGAAAATGAAAAGGAGCAAGTGACTGGAGTGATTAGGGAAAGCATGCGACTCTACATAGAGTGGTCAGAGAAGGCCTCTATCAGAACTAAGTATTTGAGCTGAAATCTGAATATTAAGAAAGAGTCAGTACTCAAAACTATAATGAGATAACCACTGACTCATTGCTGTTGAGTCAATTCCGACTCATAGCAACCCTATTGGACAGAGTAGAACTGCCCCAATGGGTTTTCAAGGTTGTAAATCTTTACAGAAGCAGACTGCTACATCTTTCTCCCATGGAGTGGCTAGGGGGTTCAAACTGCCAACCTTTAAGTTAGCAGCCGAGCACTTTAACCACTGTGCCACCAGGGCTCCATTCATACTTACCAGAAAGGCTATAGTCAAAAAACAGAAAATAACAAGTGTTGAGAATGTGGAAAAATTGGAATAGTCATCCACAGAAATGTAAAATGATGCAGCCACGGTGGAAAAGTTAGTGGTTCCTCAAAGAGTCAAACCCAGAATTACTACACGACCCAGCAATTCCACTCTGAGGTATATACCCCAGAGAAAGAAGTACTTGAAAACAAGTACTCAAACAAATACTTGTTAACGAACGTTCATAGCCGCACTATTCACAATAGCCGGAAGATGGAAACAACCCAGATGTCCATCAACAGATGAATAGATACAAAATTCTGATACATGCTACAACGTGGATGAACCTTGAAAACATTATGCTGAGTGAAAGAAGTCAGACACAAAAGGTCACATATTGTATGATTCCTATTTGTATTAAATATCCAGAATAGGTAAATCCATAGAGACAGAAAGCAGATTAGTGGTTGCTAGGGGCTGGGGGGAAAGGGGAATGGAGAGTGACTGCTTAATAGGTACAGGGTGTCTTTTTGGGGTGATGAAAATATTTTGCAACTAGATAGAGGTGGTGGTTGCACAACATTGTGAAGGCACTAAATGCCACTGAATTTTCACTTTAAAATGGTGAATTTTATGCCATGTGAATTTTACCTCAGTTTTTTTTTTTTAATGTCAGTAGGAGAAGGTCTTGAGGAAGTGCATCCCAAAAAGAGGATCCATACATGAAAAGGCTCTGAGGAGAAAACAAACTTGAAGTGTTCCAAAAGTGTGGCCAGAGCAAAATGAATGAGGGGTGTCTTAGTTATCTAGTGCTGCTATAAAAGAAATACCACAAGTGGGTGGCTTTAACAAACAGAAATTTAATTTCTCACTGTTTAGGAGGCTGCAAGTCTGAATTCAGGGTGCTGGCTCTAGAAGTCTTTCTGTCTGTTAGCTCTGGGGGAAGGTCTTGTTTCTTTTCACCTTCTGTTTCTTGCTTCCTTGGAGATCTCATGTGGCCTGGCATCTATCTTTCCCTAACTGCACTTGCTTGTTTCATCTGCTCCTTTATATCTCAAAAGAGAGTGACTTAAGACAGACCGTACACTAATACTGGCTCATTAACATACCAAAGAAAACCCATTCCCAAATGGGATTATAGCCACTACAGGGGTTAAGATTGACAACATATATTTTGGGGGGACACAATTGAATCCATAACAAGGCGTAAGGACTTACTGAGGATGTGGACTCAGTAATGGCACACCAGACAACCTGGATCCCACCCCCATACAGGGATGGAGGGTGGTATCCCAGAACAACAGTTGGTGGAAATTTCTGACTTCTATTACACAGGGCAGTGGTGGAGCTAAAATGGGGTTAAAAACATAAATTGCTTTATTCATACACCAGTCCATTTCTGGAAGTCATCTGTAAGTTGGGCATAGCCTTGGTTCATTCATTTTCTTTGCTGTATAATATTTCCTTGTACAACTATACTACAGTTGACTTATCCATTCTATAGTTAGTAGGTATCTGGATTGTTTCCAGATGGGGGCTATTAAAATCAATGCTACTACACCTGCCCAGCATGGGTCTGGTCCCTTCACACTCATGGTGCTAATTTGCATGAGTGTCTCTAGGGCACATGCCCAAGAAAGAAACTGTTGAGCCCTACATTCACTTTGTCTCATTTACTTTGGACATGTTATCAGGAGAGACTATCTCTGGAGAAGGACATCGTGCTTGGTAACGTAGAGGGTCAGTGAAAAAGAAGAAGACCCTCAACAAGATGGATTGACAACAGTGGCTGTAACAGCGGGCTCAAACAAGCCTAGTGTTATGAGGATGGCACAGGACCAGGCAGCCTTTCGTTCTGTTATACATAAAGTTGCTATGAGTTGGAGCCAACTTGACAGCACCTAACAATAATGCATGGACAACTAGACAAAATAATGCCAAACTGTTTCCAAAGTAGCTGCACCTACACAGACCACCACTAGCACTATAAGAGAGGCCCCATTGAACCACATCCTTGTCAAAAATCTTTTCATTTTTGTCAATCTTGTACCTCGTTGTTCTGTTAATTTGCATCACCTTTTCTTGGCCATTTTATATTATTTCCTATAAAGGCTCAAAAGAATACACCGAATTTTGTTCCAATTATATAAAGTTTAAAAACAAACAAAACTAAACTATAGTGCTCAGGGTTATATACATACGTGGTAAAACTATAAAGAAAAGCGGGAAGTGATTATCATAAAAGTCAAGAAAATGGTTACTTCTGGGGAGGAGAAGGGGGTCTATAATTGGGAAGAATTGCTGGGATAATGTCCACAGATTAGTTCATGATTTGGCTGTTCATTTAACAGTTATTAATCATATGATGCAGTTAAGTTTATGCTCTTTTCTGTAGTGTATCGTATTTCACAATTTTTGAAAGGTTAAAAACACAGAAGACTGAGAAGTTATATAAAGTGGCATTGAAATAAATGAACATCTCCACATAAATATAAGGGGTGGTGGTTATCCTTTCCCGTTACTGAGTCTTGCTGTGTCTGAGTGACTGACCAGATCACTCGTCTCTGTCTTTGTCAAGATTGAGTCCCCAAAAACTGAATTATCAGTCACCATGGGTCAGAATTGACTTGACAGCAATGAGTTTAGTTTTTTTGGTTTTTGTCTTAGCTTGGGGTCCCCCAGAAGCAGACCCTTAGACAAGGATTTGACGGCAAGTAGTCCATCTGGGAAGTGACCCCAGGACACAACAATAAAAGACTGAGGAAGTGAGACAGAGAAAGGAAGGATCCAGTCAGTAAAGGATGTGTCACAGAGCAAGTTACCACTGTCAAAAGAAAAAGAAATTGATTAACAAGTCAATTAGAGTTACCAGGACTTATTGAGTGAGAAACTGTTCTCAATCAGAGAGCACCCCAAACTGAAAATGGTGAGGGGACTCAAGTTTACACAGTTACAATACCATTTTAAAGTTTAAATGAGTGAGTACCTTGCCCTTTGTTTTGAGTTAATCACATTTAATTTTCCTTTTGGGAAAGTTGGTCACTGGTTAAAGTTGGTTAGTTGGTTAAGCTGGTTTAGCTGAGTGTTGCTAATTTCATGCTGATAAGTACTGCTAACTCATGCTGTTAAGGAAAATTTGCCATAGTTTTGATTCTGCTTAAACCCATTGTTTCTTGTAAATAACTTAATGACTAATTTTTGTTTAGCTCTTGGCTCAGTGAAGCCTTTTTAAACTTTTGCCTCTATAAAAATTTTTTAACATCATCATGGGCAATTGGGACTCAGTCTCATTGGGGCACCCTGGGAAATGAGTAGAACACACACCTCAGAGTCATCTCACCCAAGAGCGAGGGCGCTGGAGTATTTACCTACCAACTCCCCAACTGTTATGGTTTGAGGGCAGCTTCCAGGGGCATTAACTCCCCAGCACTTGTGACTTGCTCTGATATGTCCAAGCATGCCCATGTGGCTTGAAAAATGCCCCCAGGCAGAGAGTAAGTGGAGTTCACAGTAAGCAGCCAAAGAGCAGGTACTGTTACCGCAGTAACGCAGATTGGAGTCGCCTGTCACAATAGCCAATTCTGAGACGGGTGAGGTGAGCAGCAAGAGTTTTATTATATATGAATATATAGGAGACAGAGGGGAATAGTTTCCTCCAAAAACCTGTCTCCTCCACTAGAGATCAGCCGAAGGCTTTATAGGGACAGGATGATGGGTCTTAGAAGTTTGTGTTAGTTCCCCCTTGAGGTGGTCACGTCCCAGATAAGTTAATCTTCTTTGGATATTCTCGGGAGTTATCTGGCAACATGCTGGTTTTCCTGTCACAAGACGGATGCTTTGTTCGGTTTTTCATTCCTAGATCATTATCACTTGTTTTCCACCCTTCAAGGAGGAACATCAGTTCATCTTAAACTTTTTGTAGAGACTGGAACCAGAGGGGAAAACAAGATCATGAGACAATGTGGGGGTTACCAATGGGGAGTAATAATAGTGAGCCAGACCTATGCAGCCTCTTCCAGTACAGGTGAGCGTGGAGAGGATAATGGAATGGCCTCTGCTATACAAGGCTTCCTACATCTGTTTGGGAGCAAAACTTAGTCAGTAGACAGTTTTCATACTCTCCATCCTCAAGCTTTGCTCCTGTATTTGGTATGCCCCATTCCAAGAGGGAAAAATCATCATCCCAGAGCAGCAGGGTATGACTGTGAACTCTTCTTTGCTGGGTCCCAGGAGGAAGATCCCGTGCTCACTGTGATCACCTACGTGGGGCTGGGCCTCTCTCTGCTGTGCCTCCTCCTGGCAGCCCTCACCTTCCTCCTGTGCAAAGCCATCCAAAACATGAGCACCTCACTCCACCTGCAGCTCTCACTCTGCCTCTTCCTGGCCCACCTCCTCTTCCTCGTTGGGATTGACCAAACCAAGCCCCAGGTACTGACAGTGTCCCTAAGTACTCCCTGCCCTGCCCCAGGAGAGGCTGAGCTCATGGAGCCATGCTGTTCTTGATACTCTGGTAAACTATCCTTAGGCCCAGAGGACGTTGGAGGGGTTACTGCCAAGATGGCCAGTGCTTTCCCTATCAACCACCTTTACTTTTGAGGACCTTGGTCTAATGTCAAGTGCTCTGACCTCAATGCCAGGGTGAAAGAGAGGTTCTTGAGCTGTACTCCACCCTGACAGCCCCTCATGACTACTCTCCCTCCTCCCTCAGGTGCTGTGCGCCATCATTGCTGGTGCCTTACACTACCTCTACCTGGCCGCCTTCACCTGGATGCTGCTGGAGGGCCTGCATCTCTTCCTCACTGCAAGAAACCTGACGGTGGTCAACTACTCCAGTGTGAACAAACTCATGAGGAAGCTCATGTTCCCTGTAGGCTACGGAGTCCCGGCTGTGATTGTGGCAATTTCTGCAGCATCCAGACCTCACCTTTATGGAACACCTGAACGGTAAGCTTAACTCCCACCCCATGCTGTGGACAGTTATATATTTCCTGAAAGCTTTTTGGGAGTGGTGTTAATGATGATGATTGGAATATACATATAAAATTCACCCCACATTCCCCTTTATAATGGTTCTAACCCCTTTCCCAGGGAGGCAGGTAAGATGGTGGTAATGTTTGGGTTCTGGAAGGAGAGAGTTTTGCAGTTATATCCCAGTGTCCCTCCCATGCTCTGGGATCTTGAGTTCTCAAGCCTGAGTCTCCTCATTTGTGAACTAAGGATAATAGTTATCCCCACTGTCCCAACCTCACGATGCTGGTGTGAAAATTCAGCAGGACTGTATTAGTTTCCTAGGGCTGCTGTAACAAATACCACAAAGTGAGCAACTTCTAACAACAGAAATGTATTGTCTCACAGTCATGGATGCCAGAAGTACAAAATCAGGGTGTTGTCAGGGCCCTCCCTGAAGACTCTAGAGAAGGATCCTTCCTTGCCTCTTCCAGCTTCTGGTGGTTCCTGACAATCCTTGGCATTCCTTGGCTTATAGATGCATCACTCAAATCTCTGCCTCTTTCATCACATGGCCCATCTGTGGCTTTTCTCCTCTTTTATAAGGATACCACTCATACTGGATTAGGACTCACCCTTCTCCAGTATGACTTCATGTTAACTGATAACATCTTCAAAGACCTTACTTCCAAACAAGGGCGTGTTCACAGGTACAGGGATTAGGGTCTTCAGCACAGCTCTTTGGGAGATACAATTCAATCCATAACAAGGAATGTGCTCACAAAATGCTTAACAGAGTACTGATACACAGTCCTTTGGTGGTGCAAAACTATTAACACATTCAGCTGCTGAGATGTTGGCACCCAGTGGCACCTCAGAAGAAAGGACTGGCAGTCTTATTCTGAAAAATCAGCCATTGAAAAACCTATGGAGCAGAGTTCTACTCTGACACACATGGGATCTCTATGAGTTAGAATCGACTTAATAGCAACTGGTTTTGTAGTAACACACATGGTAGCATTAGCTGCTACTTTCAGTACTCTGTTGGATAAGTGTTACTTTATATTCATTTCATATGTTTTCTCTGATCTCTCCTGTGTCACTTTCCTCATTTTTCCCAGATGCTGGCTACACCTGGACCAGGGATTCATCTGGGGTTTCCTTGGCCCCGTCTGTGCCATTGTCTGTGTGAGTATGTGGCTCCAGTGTTCCTGACCAAAGGAGAACCTCCACATGTACTAGGGGCAAGACAGTACCAGGGACATACATTTCCTTAGATGTATGGTTTAATTTTCCACCTGCTGCCAATTCCAACCCTTGTGCAAGGAGATAGGAGTTGTGTGCAACTCACTGTGGACATGGTACATATTTTTTTAATTTATTTTATTTTGTTGTTGTTGTTGAGAATATACACAGCAGAACATATACCAACTCAACAATTTCTACATGAACAATTCAGTGACATTGACCACATTCTTCAAGTTATGCAACCATTCTCACCCTCCTTTTCCCAGTTATTTCTCCCCCATTAACCTAAGTCATTACCCCCCAAGTTTCCCATCTAATCTTTCAAGCCGCTGTTGTCAATTTGATCTCACATAGTTCTTAAAAAGGCACAATGCTCAAGGTAGACCTTTTTTTACTAGTTAAGCTAAACTATTGTTTGGTTTCAAGAAGACCCCAGGGATGTTTTTGGTTTAAAGTTTAAAGATTATCTCAGGGCAATTGTTTTGGGTTTTCATCAAGCCTCATGGATCCAGAAAGCCTGGATTCCATGAGAATTTTAAATTCTATTCTGCATTTCCCCTCTTTTGATCAAGATTCTTCTATAGAATCTTTGATCAAAATGTTCAGTAAAGGTAGCCAGGCACCATCCAGTTCTGGTCTCATGTCAAAGAAGACAGTTGTTCATGGAGGCAATTAGACCTGCAGTCCAGTTCATCCTCCAGTTCCTGGGTCTCCTTCCTCTGCTGCTCCAGGCAAACAGAGCCCAATTGTTGTAGCTTGGATGGCCTCTTGCAAGCTTTTAAGACCACGGTCACTAGGCAATGAACTAGGAGGTAGAACATAAGAACTAAACATGATATTAGGCCAATTAACTGGGATGTCCTATGAAACCATGACCCTAAACCACCAAACTAAGAAACCAAATCCCATAAGGTGTTTGGTTGTGCATAAGCAGCCTTGGTAGTTGCTCTTTTGTTGTTGTTGTTTTTGTAAATATATCTATCACACAGCCTTTGCTACTTGACATGGTACATATTTTAACTTGCATTCTGCACTCTTTGTGTCATTCCTGTAGGTGAATTTAGTATTTTTTATCTTGGTCCTTTGGATTTTGAAAAGGAAAATTTCCTCCCTCAACAGCGAAGTGTCAACCATCCAGAACACAAAGTAAGATGGGACAAATGGTCTTTCTCAATCCCTTTTTCTCTACCCACGCCAATACTCCTCCCTCCTACATACACATACCACCACCCCCACAATCAGGATCCAGGGACTAGCAAGGCCGCTGTAATCTCCCACTTTCACAATTAATGAGAACCTGTTCAGGCTAGAGTAGAGGCTAAGATGACAAAAAGATCCAAAACAGAGTGAAGGAGAAGCTCATTTCACTCTCATGTCACCGTCCAGAGGTGAACATTCCAGAGCTGGTGGGGAAACTCTGCTCCACAAAGTGATCCAGGGACTCAGGGTTCTTTCTATTTGTCTCTCCACCATCCCCTAGGGTGTTGTCTTTGCCAGTATCCCATCCATGGCAAGGAGATGACATGGAAGTTGCACAGTCCACATTTGTTTATATCCTATTGGCTAATCTTGCTCACATGGTGACACCTATCTGCAAGGAAGGCTGAGAAATGTAGTCTGTAGCTGGGCATCCATGTGGCCTATAGAACTCGAAGGGAGAAGGGACTTACTACTAAATGGAAAAGGAAAGTGGCAAAACCAGCAGTTTCTGCTACCCAACACAAGATGCATACAGGAGTGCTCTTTCTTTGTCAAAGACAACCAACTCAGGTTTGCTAATCCATCAGTTACTGACAGCTTAAATTCTATAGGAATCCTAAGAATTGAGCCACTGAAGTATATCCCAACAAAACTGTGCCCACCCAGCCAGCAGGGACCAAGTTAGCTTTGTCATTGTTGTTATTTGCCATCAAGTCAGTTCCCACTCAGCGACCCTGTGTACAACTGAACGAAACACTGCCCAGTCCTGCACCATCCTCACAATCGTTGTTATACTTGAGCCCATTGTTGTAGCCACTGTGTCACCCCATCTCATTGACGGTCTTCCTCTTTTTTGACAACCGTCTACTTTACCAAGCATGGTGTACTTCTCCAGGGACTAGTCCCTCCTGATAATATGTCCAGAGTACGTAAGATGAAGTCTCCCCATCCTTGCTTCTAAGGAGCATTCTAGCTGTACTTCTATCAAGACAGATTTGTTCATTCTTCTGGCAGTCCATTGTATATTTAATATTCTTCACAATCCAAGTACTAACAGGTGCTACCCTGCTTAGCTTCCAAGATTGGACGTGTTCAGGGTGGTATGGATGTAGACCCAAGTTAGATAATAGTAGCAAATTTAAAAGTATATCTACAGTTGAGTGTAATAAGTTCAAGAAAGATTTAGATTAAAATATAATCTTGTGTATTATTATACAAGATATTTTAATCTAAATCCTTCCAAAAAAAGTTGGAGCTATGAATATTTTATTTTTGTAGCATCCATTTTAATTTGAACATATCTTTGTTGTTGCTGCTGTTTTAATCACAGAAATAAGACATGCTTATTAAAATTTTTGGAAATTTTTTCAAAATATATAAAGTAAAAACTGAAAATGAGTAACTCCTACTTTGCCTACTACTTCTACTTCCCAAGGAATCCAGGGTTAACAAACAGTATGCTATGACATTGTGACACTGTTTCAGGCCTTCATCTGTACATTTTCTGTAGAACAGACACAAGCACGTATACAATAAGATCACACTGTATAAATTGTTCCTCAACTAGCTTTTCTCATTTATACTATAAGTGGAGCCCTGGTGGCACAGTGGTCACGCATTTTGCTGCTAACCAAAAGATCGGCAGTTCAAATCCACCAGCTACTCCTTAGAAACCCTACGAGGCAGTTCTACTCTGTCCTATAGGGTCGCTATGAGTCGGAATTGACTCGACGGGATAGTTTTGGTTTTTTATATACTATAAGTAGGGTGGCCGTACATCTTAGTTTGCCTGGTACAATTCCAATTTATTCCTGTTGACCCATTGTAATTATTAACAGCATCCTCTTTTGACCCTATCTGTTTAAAGAAAGGCAGATAAAGAGCACCCAGTTTTAGAATGCTTTACATATATACAGTACTAATTTTGTTCCAGGAAACCCTGGTGGCATAGTGATTAAGTGCTATAGCTGCTAACCAAAAGGTTGGAGGTTCAAATCCACCAAGTGCTCCTTGGAAACCCTATCGGGCATTTCTACTCTGTCCTATAGGGTCGCTATGAGTCAAAATCCACTAGACAGCAATGGGTTTTACAGGTTAATTTTGTTCCAGATACTGTCCTACATGTTTTGCATATATATTAAACTCTCACTTAATCTTTGCAACAACCCTATGAGGTAGGGTTGTTACAAAGATAAGGGAACTGGGTTGCAGAAAGGTAAAGTAACTTGCCCAAGGTCACACAGTTAGTGCCAGGGCTTGGATTTAAACCCAGGCATCCTAGCTCCAGAATCCTCACTGTTAACAACTGCACGATAGGGGTGTCCATGACCATTATTAGGTTTTTGACATCATCGTTTATGACTCCTGTCAGGATGCTGACATTCAAAGCAACAGCTCAGCTCTTCATCCTGGGCTGCACGTGGTGTCTGGGCATCCTGCAGGTAGGCCCAGCTGCCCAGTTCATGACGTACCTCTTCACTATCATCAACAGCCTGCAGGGCGTCTTCGTCTTCCTGGTCTACTGCCTCCTCAGCCAGCAGGTAAACATTGGCCCTTTATTGTTTTAAAGTTAGGAAAAGTTTGGAGGTACAGATATTAATGAACAGTTAAAGCTGTGTTCTCTGAATTTCCATATGGGCTTGTAATCAGTATGTAAAGACTGTGTTTCCTCTACTTTAAGATGCTGTTGATTGTAAGAGATTTTCAGAATGTAATGAATTGCTACATCAAGGAAATATTGTGTTTTTCTTCAGCTTTTCCATTTGCAATAGTCAGTTATTGCTGTATAACAAAATTCCTCAAAAACCTCAATGACTTAAACAATGAGTATTTATTTTTCTCAATCTTGGTTTGCAGGTTGGTTGGGGTTCAGCTGATCTTGGCCAAGCCAGGTCAAGCCCTACTGGGCGAGGTCATTTCAATCTTCTGCTTACATCACCTCTGCTAATACCCCATTGTCCAAAGCAAGTCACATGACCAAGCCCAAAGTCAGTAGGAGAAAAATACTCCACCCACTGTGAGGCTAGGATAAGGGTATAATACTACTACAGAGAAGTGAAAGATTGAGATTAATAATGCAGTTTACCATACCACTTAACATGAATTCTTAAACACATTTCCATGTGTTGGCATAGTCTCCATACTAATATGTTTTAATAGTTCTACAATGAAATCACATAATAAGCTAATAGAATTGTGCAATGAACACCTAAATTCTATAATTAACATTTTGCTATGTTTGCATTATTACATATCTATCCATTTATCTATCCCTCTTTCCATCTGTTCATACTTCTCATGTAGACAAGTGTAGCTTGCATGTATAGCCAAAGAAACGTGCAGGCAGCTCTTCTCAATGGTTGTGTGCACCTGAGTGAGCACAATGCAAAAGACTTACATCCACTCTTCCCTCAGTTTGCTCCAGTTCCTGACGCATCTCACAATGTGAGCTTCTAGTTTTTAAAAAGAGGCTTTTTATTCAATATGGCTGCTAAGTGAAGTCCTATTCATTTGCCTGCCACGGACAGAAGAAAACAACAGTGTATTCCAACACTCAAAAAATACCGACTGCTTTGGACTTATTGGGATCAGCCTCCAACATGGTGCCTTCCTAAGGGGGTGCACAGATAACTTGGACAGCATGCTGGCTCTAGAATTTAACCCTAGGAAAAATGCAACTCCACTGTATGCAACTGAACTTTGTTAGCATACTTCTGCCTAGATATAGTTAAATTATACTACATCTATAGAACGGGATACTGTGCAACCACTAAAAATAATGTTATCAAAGCCTGAAACCCCAATGAGGCTGGGATCCACAAGTGCAGATCAGGAGGTACAATGGCCAAATAAACATCGTCCAGCAACCAGAAGAAATACAGAAGCACTCAAGTTCTTTACGTGCACGTCTCAAACACCATGAAGGGGACGCATAGTTCAGGCATATTCCTTCCTTTCCCACACATTTTCTTCTCCCTTATAGCTGCCCTGGCCCTGCTTTGTTCAAAATTTCCCCTAAAAGCTACCCCCCAGCCCCAGATTCCTCTTATTCCTTTACTCCTTTACCCTTTCTCCCCTGCCCCCTGCTCTGCAGCTCACCCTCCCTCCCTTCCTTCCTTGCTATAAAAAGAATTATCCAGTTCAAAGGATTAGTAGTGCCAAGACTGGGAAACGTTGTTATAGAAGATGTTGTCGGTGGGCCTCCCATATCTCCTCGGCATTCCCCTCTACATGCCTGAGGTTTTCTAATGTAAACACCCATGACTCTCTGCTTGTGGGCATCTTACTGCCCACAGGACGTGCTTGGCCCATGCACAAGACAAGCTGGTGGTGCCAGAGAGTAATGTCCTCTGAGAGCAGCCATCAACCACTGTCTGACAGGAGTTGGTGGATCAATACCCCAGCTCCCTCGCCCCATGAATGGGATGGCTCTGAGGTGCAGGTCCTATGCTTTCTCCCTGGGGTCCCCAATGGGACTGAGCCCGGGTTGCCCACAGTGGAAACTTCTTTGATAAAAATACACCCTTTACTGGCCATCTTCTCTTACGTCTCTCATTTCCCCACTGCCCTACTGTTTTTTCCTGGGATCAGCTCCCAGATAAATGTCTTACACTTAAACCTGTATGTCAGGGTTCTGGGGGACTCCCAACAAAGACAGGTGGAAGGAGACTACCAACACATTATCAGTAGTTCTCTCTAGATTGAGGAATTATGTGTGACTTCTATTTCCTTTTGCATATGCATATTTTGTACATTTCCTCTAACAAAGATGTATTCTGTAATATGAAACCAAAAAAAAAAAACTCTTGCTGTGGAGTCAATTCCAACTCATGGTGAATTATTATAGGGTAGAATTGAGCTTCAGAGGGTTTTCTTGATTATAATCTTTATGGAAGCAGGTAGGCAGCCCTTTGTTCTGCAGTACCACTGGGTGGGTTCCAATCGCCAACCTTTCAGTTAGCAGCCAAGCCCATACCATTTGTACCACCCAGGGACCTTTCTGTAATAGGAGAGAAGTCTTTTAATAATAAGTGTCTTCTCTTTCTGACTCACTGGCTTTTCTCCTTTTCACCAATGTTAATAAAAACCGCCTTGGTATTTCCTTTGATGTTCCAGGTCTGGAAGCAATACCAAACGTGGTTTAGAGAGATCGTGAAATCAAAATCCGAGCCTGAGACTTACACACTTTCCAGCAAGTTTGGCCCTGACTCAAAACCCAGCCAAGTAAGAGAACCTGTGGCTTATTCTAGTGTCTCACCCCCTTGATGCCCCTGCCTTCCTCTTTTTGTCTTAGTCCAGAGCTCCTTTCATGGAGAGTAGAGGGAAGAGTTATACTCTTGTCCTGAACACTTGGTTTGCATCTCTCATTCTCACTATATTGTTCCTCAGTTACTCTTCCCTGCTCACTAACAATACTTGAGCTGACCTTTGTATATGTTTGCACCATGCAAACAGACAGGGGTAAAACATCACCAACACCACGTGGTGTCCATTTAATGTAGAACTCTATGAAGGGAGACTTATAGGCATAGAAGTAGCAGAGCAGTCATCATCCCCCAAACCTCCACCATCCTGTAGAAAGGTGGATGGGAGCCCAGTGGAGTCAGTGGATACCATGGAAAGGGCCCACCCCAGATGGTCTACCTAATTATAGGGAAAGCATGCAGGGAATGATGGGACTTTACTGGGGAAGAAATGCCCTGTTAGAAAGGGGACACCTCTGGAGCTCCGTTGCTGGTATTTGTTCTTCCACTGAGCTAACTCAGGCTCAGTGCATCAAAGAATGAGCTTCCAGCATGATGTGAGGCTTCCCTTCATAGTTCTTTCTTATTTGCCCTTTTGGAAAGAAGATAGAAAATACTTCTAAGAAGGTATGTGTGGATGAGCAAGAAGGGCTCCAAAGCTCTGGATCCATAAAATCTCTTCCGATCTTGTTTGGTTTCATGCCTTCCAAGGGCACACTCACCACATCCGCTTACCAAAGAGCCTCAGAATACCTTGTTTATATTGAGAAAATTCTGTTAAATCACCTTCTATACTTCTTAAGATAATTTGTGATTTTCCTCAGCAGTGAAAAACTATATTGAGATCACTAAAGAAACGTCTGTGTTTTATCGGAAGGTTGTTATTGTTGTGTGCCATCGAGTCGATTCCGACTCGTAGCAACCCTACAGGACAGAGTAGAACTGCCCGATAGGGTTTTCTAGGCCGTAGTCTTTATGGGAGCAGATCACCAGGTCTTTTCTCCCACAGAGCTTCTGGTGGATTGAAACCGCCAACCTTCTGGTTAGCAGCCAAGTGCTTGACCATTGTGCCAGAGGGGTGGGGAATTAATTATAACTCCTTCCATAAGGGCCAAGAGGAAAAGGGACCAGGAAAAAAGTCTTAAGGCCTGTCAAGTAATCAGAAAATTTTTTATGAATATCAGGCTTAATCATTCTCAATTGAGGTAAAATTATGATAGGTGCTGACAACTGACTGTGGCCTATGAAGTGTTTCCCAGATAATCCAAAACAATTTCCAAAGCTGCCCATACTCCAGTTACTGGTTCCCCACAATGAAATAAGGAAGTTTATTTTTATGATTACTTAACATTGGGGAAACTCAAAGATGAGTGTATCTTTGAAAAGGTAAAATCTAAAATAAAAACTGAGTCTCCCTTTAAGAAATACATTAGGTTTAATTAAAAGAATCTCTTAAGCTTCCCACTCCCCCTCCCCCAGCACAGGATGTGAGTAAAGAGTTAGTAGAATCTTTTCTCTTTATCTGTAGACAAATTTGACCTTCGTTTAACTTTCTGGCTGTGTTCCCCCTGGAAACTTGATAAAGAAGGAAGGTCAGCTGTGTGACCAGACAGCATTGTTTATAGTAAAAAATATGCTTAACTGGTAAATTGCCAGACAATGAGTCAAAAACTCCTGGAGGGAAGTCATAACTTTGGGCTTCCTGCATACAATGACTCTTGTAACTGGTTGTGTGTCTTACCAGGACTACTAGAAGCTATGCCCATGGGCTGCTAAAGGAGATACTGGTTCCACATCTAAACAAGGCTGTAATTGTGGGAAGCAAAAAGAATACTTGCTGATTTCTACAATGTGTCAGGCATTCTGCTAGGCCATGGCCATACAGAAACGAACAAGACCAACACAGTTATTGCCTTCAGGGAGTTTAGAGTCTAGCCTTTCCTCATAGAAAAACGACAACATTCCGAGAGCTGAAATTCTGTGTGAGACACTATATCTGAAAATTTTTCAAAGGGAAGCATTCTTTGTCCTGGGTTGTTGAAAAGTCCTCCCAATAAAAGCTAAAAAGACCACACCTGCCCTAGGATTCTAAATGCTGGGAGATCCTGCCATCCTTGCTGAGGTGCTTGCTGAATGAAGCTCTCTGAATTTAACACATTCCTGATCTTTCATTCAGTTTTTGTGTGTTTTTTTGTTTTGTTTTGTTTTTTGTTTTTATCCTTATATCCACCTTTAATCTAAACATCTCTTTTTTGGGGGGTGGGGGGCTTGCAGGACAAATGAAGAGAAAATATTAAGACTAAAACATTCAACCCCATGGATCTGGTTGGCATCATGAAGAATAAATTCAGGGCAAGCAGACTCATTATACATATCATCATTGGAGGAAATATTTAATCTTTACTTCTTGAAGTGTTTGTTCTGCATAGTAGGCTCCCAATATATGTGTGTTGAATTGGATTTCTCTTTGCTATGATATGTTCAGGCAATGCTGGACATGGATACCCAAATCATGCCCACTGCAAATACTTCCTTGCCTTTTTGTAACTGAGGAGGCCCCTTCCAAGGTCTTTCATCAAGCCCTTACTCACATCTCCTAAACTTGCCCTTTTAACTCATCCAGCCCCTCAAACTATCAGCTTCTCCCAAATCATAAGCGTCCTCTTGGCTTCACCGCCTTGCTTATTCAGTCTAAATCTCATGATCCACCACATCAAATAATTCTCTCCTATATTTTCAGCATCTTTGCTTCCTTTTTTGATTCCATTTCCTACTTACGTATCCATTTTCTACCTACCCAGAATCACTTATCATTCAATCCAAGACTAGTCCAACTATGGCAGGCTCTGTGGATTGTCAACTCAGCAGCAACCTTGATTATTCTCAGATTTGGAACAGTAATGTGCCTGGGCCCAGGGTGTCAATTGAGATGGTCTAAGCCATCAGTTCTCAGCTGGGGGTGATCTCCCCACATACACAGGGACATTTGGCATTGGGAATTTTTGGCTGTCATGACTGGGGATGGTAGTTCTACTGCCATCTAGTGGATAGAGGCCAGGGATGCTGCTAAACATCCTACAATGCATAGGATAGCCCACCAACAAGCAATTATTCATCCCCAAATATCAGTAATGCTGAGGTTGAAAAATCCTGGTTTAATTTGCTAGAGATGGGTTAAGGATGGACATTTGGACTACTTCTAGCCAATGAGATATAAGAAAAGCCTACTGGAAAATATTTTTTTTTGTTAATAAAAACAAAGACAAACTCAAGAAGAGCCTGCCCATGACTTCCTACTTTTGGATGCCGTCATATGACAATATAATACTTGGAAGGAAGAAATAAAGGAAGTACTAAGGATGGAAGAATGCCAAAATGGGAATAATCTGTGATTTTATGACATTGTTGAGTTGCTGAACCAACCCTTGGACTTTTTGCTATGTAAGACAAACAAATCCCTATTATTAAGCCATTCTGAGTCAGGGGATCTGCTGCTTGCAGCCCAAAGCATCCTTTCTTATGAACTATGTTTATTCTCCATTTCTCCATCAAGTCACTGAGATCCCAGGATCACTCAGCTTGGAGCCATCACAAATTCATGCTCTCTGATCTAAACAAGACCTTCCATGCTACCTGGGGATCTCTCTTCCTGTCCCTAGTCAACTTCCCCATGTAGAGAATTCCAGGTTTTCACCTCCTTCCTCAATCCTCATCACATTTCCCTTTACATAAGGTAGAAGACATGGTCTTCTTGAGTTTCAACTTCCTGACTTCCCTTACAAATTTATCTGCATTCATGCCCATCCTTGCTTCCTTCTCCCATCAGTACCCATTGCCTCCTCCTTCATTCTACCACAAGGGCAAGGCTAACCCTTTCATCTGTGCTTTGGATCCATCCCCTACTGCCTCTTCAGAGAACTTTTTCCACTGATTACCTCCTTTCTCTTCCACCTCACCCATGCCCTCTCTCCGGTTCTTCCCCAGTAGCATTCAAATATGTTAAAAGTAGTCAGAAAACTTTTTCTGTAAAAGGCCATATAGTAAATATTGTTTTCAGGCCATATACACTCTCTGACATACACACACACTACACAGGATAAGTAGATTAGATGATAGACTATAGATATAAAATCAGGGAATATATAATATACTTTGCATATATAGATGTAAATAAGCAATAAGCAACATCATGATAAATGGAGAAAAGATTTTAGTTGTCAAGGATTTCATTTTATTTGGATTCACAATCAACACCCATGGAAGCAGCAGTCAGGAAATCAAAAGACGCATTGCATTGGGCAAATCTGCTGCAAAAGACCTCTTTAAAGTGTTAAAAAGCAAAGATGTCACCTTGAAGACTAAGGTGCGCCTGACCAAAGCCATGGTGTTTTCAGTCAGCTCATATGCAAAAGCTGGACAATAAATAAGGAAGACTGAAAAAGAATTGATGCCTTCAAATTATGGTGTTGGTGAAGAATGTTGAATATACCATGGACTGCCAAAAGAATGAACAAATCTGTCTTGGAAGAAGTACAACCAGAATGCTCATTAGAAGCAAGGATAGGGAGACTACATTTCACATACGTTGGACATGTTATCAGGAGTGATCAGTCCCTGGAGAAGGACATCATGCTTGGTAAAGTAGAGGGTCAGTGAAAAAGAGGAAGATCCTCAACGAGATGGATGGACACAGTGGCTGCAACAACGGGCTCAAGCATAACAATGATCGTGAGGATAGTGCAAGACCAGGCAGTGTTTTGTTCTGTTGTACATAGGGTCTCAATGAGTCAGAACCAACTCGACGGCACCTAACAACAACAAATGTAAATATATATGGGACTATATCCATTCCCAGCTCACAGCCGTACAAAAACAGGCTGCAGGCAGAATTTGGTCTCCAGGCTGTAGTTTTCCAACTCCTGTGCTAAAGAGAGAGAAATGAGAGGTTCTAGGAAAATGGCCACCTGAACTTGCCTTGATTCCCCTCCACTCCCAGTCCCAATGTATGTGTCCCTTTTGAACCAAAAGTCTTCTGGTACCCATGGCAGTTGGATGGGAGTGAGGTTTCTGTCTCTGGGGGAGCCCCTGAAGAGACAGCTGGGCTTGGAATTTCTCCCCCATACATCAGGTGAGAGCCCTGAGATATGCTGAAGAGTGCTGTGGGATAAAGACAAAATACGATCCATCCTAGGAAGAGTCTGGGCCACAGGAGTCTGTGAACCTCTTGGGTAAGATCAGCATCAGTCCCAGTGTGTGTGTATGTGTGTGTGGTCTCTCTGGTCCCCAAGAACCCCAAAAGGAACCCTGCTTTCGTATCTGGCAGGAAGTAAGGAGATGTAGGAAGCAGGGAGGCACTTCTACACACCTGCCTGGCACACACACGGACCCACTGGGCTGGAGAACCCATCCCCGTACATCACTTGGGAAACTGCCACTGCCTCAACCCTATATCAAAAGCCCCAAGAAAATGACAACATGTGAGAGGGCCCAGCAACTGAAAAGGATCCAACTGAATTGACATCCAACAAAACAGAGCTGCTGAAGTAAACAGACAACAACTTTAAACAAAAACCCATTGCCGTCGAATCAATTCCAACTCATAGCGACCCTATAGGACAGAGTAGAACTACACTTATAGGGTTTCCAAGGAGCAGCAGGTGGATTCGAACTGCTGACCTTTTGATTAGCAGCCAAATGCTCAACCACTGCACCACAAGGGCCCCAACTTTAAACAAGAATAGTAAAAATAAGAACTTAAGGAGATTCAAGTACAGCACCAAAAAAGCTCTCTAGAACTAAAGAGGCATGCTTTCTGCCTGGGAAATTCTGGTGAATGAATTAAAGAATTGGGTGATCACTGCCAGGAGCTAAATGAATGGCTTAGAAGATCATGTGGAATAAATATCTGCAAGCACAGAGCAAAATGCAAAAAGGATGAAAATCATGAAGAAGAAAAGTCAAACTGGGAGATCTAGGAGATCTAGTATAGGAATAATAGAAGTTTTTGAAAGAGTAGGAGGAGATGCATGTTCAGGCCCCTTCTACCCGAAAAATTCTCCCTCAACCTCCTCTCCTGCTTCAATAACCACTCTATATCCCTCCTCCTCTTCTCAGCCAAATTCTAGAAGATGTTGTTTACACTCTGCTGTCTCCACTTCCTCCCACCCATTCACTGCTCAACTCACTGCAGTCTGACTTCTGCTTCCAACACTTGAAAGAATGACTCACTGTGCCAAAGGCTTCCTCGATGTTAAGTCCACTGGCTGCTTCTCAGGCTTATCTAACTTGGGTCATCTTTGACTCTGTTGGTCTCCTTTTCCTGATACCACATTCTCCTATTAGAGTGGCCAACTCGTCTTGATTCGCCCAACACTTTTCCAGTTTGAGCACTGAGGGTCCAGGGTCCCAGGAACCCCTCAGTCCCAGGCAAACAGGAGCAACTTTGCACCAAGCTAGTCTCCTCTTGCCCTATAGTGTCTTAGTTTGCATTCCCCCAAAAGCAAACACTGAGACAAAGATTCAAGTTCACGCAGTTTATTTTAGAGGGGATCCCTAGAACACCAGTAAGCAATTGGAGAAGTGTGTCAAAGAAAGAAAGAGCCAATAAAAAGGTGTTAAGGTTGTGTTAACTGCACAGGCTACCACTGTAGGCAACTGGAGCTTAATCCCACTGGGGGCCTGTAGGGGGAGATACCATGGAACACACACACACACACACACCTCCAGGTTATCCCATCTGAGGCTGTTCTAGGAAGCATTTTTCCCTGGCAGTTCCTGTTGCGTTCCAGAACGATGGAATGAACAAAAGAGACAAACACACAAGAAGACAAACAAGACTGCAGCCCCGAGGACTTGCAGTGGTTTATTTTTAAGGTCTCCGCCTGGGCATTATGCCAGCTAATTATAAGTTGTTTTCTTCCTCAAAGCACATCAAGACTATAGCAAGTATCCCAACTTATCTTTAAGGCTCACAGATCAGCAAGTTCTCAGAGACTCAGTGTTCCCTCCTGTTTGCAGGAGGGAACGGCATGTCTGCGTGCAGGACATGCGGTCCGGATCCCGGAGATCTCGTAATGAGCTCGGGAGTGTCCGCGTGCAGATCATTCCCAGGCTGATAATTTCCCACAAGTTCCCACCTGCCATGTGGCAGACCGAGTGGACTCAGGCTGGCACGCACAGAGAAGGTGAGGATTAAGGACATATCTGCTACACAGAGGATTCCGCTCTTGACCTATTTCTCACTTGGCAAGGGAAGTTCTAAGAACTTCGGCAAGAGTTTATGAACCACCAAAATTTAAATGTATTGTGTTCATAAACATTTTTCTTCGTTGTCTCTGTTGATGATTCCGTCTTTTCCTGTTGCTTAGGCTGAAAACCTTAGAGTCATTCTTTTCTCTTTCCCTCATACTCCACATCCAATCCATCAGCAAATCCTATTGGCTGGCCTTAAAAATAAATCCAGAATTCTTCCTACCTTCATAGTCGCTGGCCCAAGCCACCACCATTACTCACCTGGATTATCGTAATAGCCCCAGGAGAACCACACAATTAGCAACTCAGCTCCTGTCGCCTCTCTTAGCCTAGCATAAATATGCTAAAGTAGCCAGCAAACTTTTTATGTAAAGGGACAGATGGTAAATATTTTATTTTCCACCACACACCACATTGCTCCCTTCCCATAATAGGTAACTGAGACCAGAGTTACAAGGTCCGGGGTCCTCAGGGATAATTGAAGTTTACAAATAATCCCTTGGAAGGCAGTAGGTGCTGCGGAAAGACCAACCATTAGAGGTATAGACTCAGACCAAATCCCAGCTCTGCCATTTATCCACTGAATGACAATGGACAAGCCATGAGACCCCTCTGGGCCTCAGTCTTCCCAGCTGTAAAATGGGGTGGGTAATTATTCCAACCTCACGGAGTTGTAGCACATATTAAATAAGAACCACTTCATGTATCTAGCAATACATGCTTAATAAACCATGGCTATTAATTTTTTTAGCAATAACCTCCAACCTTTGCTCCCTTGGACCCTAAGTAGTTAAAAGGGGACTTCTTTCATGTTTACCTCCCTGAGAGATATGAAAGTGAGATGGATTGGAGCCGGCTCCACCTCAGGGCCCCTCAGTGTGACTCAAAGATGTGACCGCAGCCCCCTGCTTCCTCATTTCTCACCACACATATTGAGGGAAACTGAAGTTTCCTCTTCTGAGATGTGGTAATTTCACCTGGCCCCAGAGAAGAAGTCACTTGAACCAAGGGTCCCCTGGGTGCAGCGTTCATAGCAGGACCTCCACCCACTCTGCAGGCGTGGACAGTATGAGGGGCTGGTTTTGGGTAGTCATGAGCTGGGGCAGGGGTGTGGAGATGGGAGGAGACAAAGGGAGAAGAAGCAGAAGTGAAGTGAGTCCCAACCTCCCCCACAGCCCTCTGTCCTCAGAGCATCCTCACCTTAATCACCTGTTTTCCATCAAAACAGGAAGACCTGTATAATTAGTCAAGGACGCTTGTTGGTAAAATTGCTTGGTTTGGAGAATGTGCACCCATCCCTGGATAGAGCTCAGTGATTGCCTAAAGGAGTTGCTGTGTTGAGTTGTGCTCTGCTCAGGGAAGTACCAGCCCTCTAGGGTGCGTTATTTGGTTGTCATGATGATGGAGGTGGAGTACTTCTGGCATTTAGTGGGCAAGGGCCAAGAATACTAAACATCCTGACACTACCAGAACTGTCTCATACAACAAAGTGGCATTTTGAGAAACACAAACATTACAAGAGCTAATAGCCCAAGAAGGTCCACACAGAAGTAAAATGGATTATATCATCAAGGATCTTTATAACCCACAGACAGCTTGAGGGCACATATGGGTAGATACCTCCACACTTGTCCTATGAACCTGACCAAGGATTTGCCTTTCAGCTGGTCTGCCTTTCTAGAAGTTCTATGGGCGAGATCTCAGCAGAAGTCAGATTCCACCACCTAATTTGGGCAAATCTCATCAAGCAAGTTGCCTGTCAAGAATATTTTGCCTCACCCACTTCTCAGAAGCTGGTCCACACCAGGTCAGAAATAAGGAAGCGAGTCCAGCTCATCATGTTTCAGAGGAACCAGGGCATTTCAATCCTGGGTTCAATGTCAAACCCAGTTCCCAAGAGCCATGATGAGGAATTTGGTGTGTGCCCACCAGACCCCAGACTGGAGACCACCGCCAAGTCCTGGGTGTCCCTCCACCTCACCATCCATTTGGGCAAGCCCATGTCCTTGCCCTAGAACTGGCCTGACTTGCATCCCAGAGACTTACTACATCTAGGTTGCTGATCCAATTTGGCCACATTCGTGTCTGTTCATGAAGAGGCAGGACCTCTGTGCAAGGGCAGGAGGTACTCAGCTCCAAGAGCTGAAGGGCGCTGCGTACAGCCCCCAGCCTCAGTCCCAAGCTTCAGCAGGAGCATTTCCGCTCACAAATCCAATATGTAGTTATATCACAAGCAAGGTCATTCCAGGTACCATCTTTGTTCATGCTGGCACAGTCCTCTTCATAGTTGTTGTTGGGTTCCTGTGGGCCCCAGAAACTAGATGGAGGAAAAGAGGGAGAGGAGGAAGGAGGAATGAATATGTGAAGCACAGGGCATTTTTAGGGTGGTGAACCTGTTCTGTATGATACTGTAATGGTGGCACCATGACATTATGCATTTTCAAAACCCAAGAATATTAAAAACAAGAATATGAACCCTAACATGAACTATGACTTTAGTTAATAATAGCATATCAATACTGGTTCATCAGTTGTAACAACCGTACTACACTAATGCACTGTTAAAAAAAAACTTGCCGCTGTCCTGTAGATTCCGACTGATAGTGACCGTATAGGACAGAGTAGAACTGCCCCATAGGATTTCCAAGGCTGTAATCTTAACGGAAGCAGACTACCACATCTTTCTCCCATGGCGTAGCTGGTGGGTTCCAACCATCAACCTTTCAATTAGCAGCTGAACACTTAACCACTACACCACCAGGGCTCCCCACACTAATGCAAGATGTTAACAATAGGGATAATTGGGTTAGTGGGAACTCTCTATGCTATCTGCTCAATTTTTCTATAAACCTAAAACTGCTCAAAAAATAAAATCTATTGATAAATATATATATATAAACCAAAAACCAAACCAAACCCATTGCTGTTGAGTCAATTCCGACTCATAGCTACCCCAGAGTAGAACTGTCCCGTACAGTTTCCAAGGAGTGCCTGGTGGACTCAAACTGCTGACATTTTGGTTAGCAGCTATAGCTGTTAACCACTACACCACCAGGGTTTCCATATATATATGGATATATATATAAAAGAAAGGCTCTTTCTTTCACCTGAATCACTTCAACCTTGCAGAATTTGCTGAAGGTGTCACATCATCCCCTTCGCCCTGGCTTGCATGTCTTAGCTCAGCTCCATCTCCCTGTTCTCCAGGACAGTCCCCACCCCCCTCCTGAATCAGTTTCCTGCATCTGGTCAGTCTCCACCATCTCTTTAAGGAGCCTTTCCATTACATCCCGATCCTCCCAACCTTCCAGATGTTGTAATGTCTTAGGTCAGGCTCCCTTAAAGCAGAGGGATCCAGGTACATAGGATTTATTAAGGGGGTGCTATGAGAGAAGCAGTGTCCCTGGTCGTGCAAACAGTTAAGCCCTCAACTACTAAACAAAAGGTTGGCAGTTTGAACCTACCCAAAAGTGCCTCAGAAAAAAGGCCTTGGCAATCTGCATCTGAAAGGTCACAGCCTTGAAAACTCTATGGATGAGCTTTAAACCTTAAACCAAAAATATCCCCTAAAGTCTTCTTAAAAACCAAACAATAGTTTAGCTTAACTAGTAAAGAAATGTCTGGCTTGGGATGGTTCAACATTAGAAAAACAATATAATCCATCACATAAATAAAACAAAAGACAAGAACCACATGATCTTATCAATCGATGCAGAAAAGGTTTGACAAAGTCCAACACCCATTCATGATAAAAACTCTCAACAAAATAGGAATAGAAGGGAAATTCCTCAATATAATTAAGGGCATTTATATAAAGCCAATAGCCAACATCACCCTAAATGGAGAGACTTTGAAAGCATTCCCCTTGAGAATGGGAACCAGACAAGGATGCCCGTTATCACCACTCTTATTCAGCATTGTGCTTGAGGTCCTAGCCAGAGCAATTAGGCTATAAAAAGAAATAATAGACATCCAAATTGGTAGGGAAGAAGTCAAAGTATCTCTATTTGCAGATGATATG